TGCTTTTCAATCTAAATCAGTAACCAGGAAGGACATACAGGAGTAAAATACTGAGTTCCCACCAAATTATGCATGTAGAAAACCTGAACTTCTGACTTTGATTTTTGATACATTTACAGTCAAATTAATATGATGGTCATTAGTAAACAAAAAATCAAAACATTGGAAAAATCAGGTTACAATGTGATAAGATATTATGAATAAGGACAGAGATGATGAGCCTTTAGTGAACAGTGGTGTCATAATAAGTTAAATATACATTGCATAACATACTACATACTATGTACATTACATACATGTCCATCTATGTAATGTATATGTTTGTAAAATACTGTACATGATGCTTAATGACTAAGGTGCAAGAGTTAGTGGATCATTATATTCATAAGAAAGCATTAAATCAATAATTCATACTGTCCCTGAGGAATGGAGGGAATCAGGTTTGATCTGAGGAAGGGAGGGCAGCTCCAATCAATTTCTTAGATCAAGAGCCTTTATCAGCATCATGGCAATTCCCATTAAAGAGAAGAGTTAGACTGCAATGCCTAAATCTTTGATGCCTTACTCACTAGTAAAATTCCTCTTCCATATATTTGTCCAAAGATTTCAAATGCCTTCAAATGTTAAAAATACCTTTTAATTTTTTTTTTAATTTTTCTGAAGAATTTCACATGCTAGTGTGATTACCACACAAGTGAAGCAACGGTCACATTCCAGCACAGAACATTATGAATGCACAAAAGGAAAATTACCTTAGCAAGCATGTGCAAGTAAGTAAAGGAGGATGCTTGAAGCAGCAGAGAGAAATACGGAGAAAAAAGAAAGAGAATGAGAAAGCACTATTAAATGAAAGTGCATTGTGGAGGAAGAGTAACTGCAATAAAAAAACCTGCAGTTTAAAAAAAGAAGAGGCTTCACATGATAAAAAAAATATATTCTTGTATTTTCTCCAAGACAGTGTTTGCTTAGGTAACTGAGGAAAAATACAGTACAATAATGCTGGAAAATAATTGAAGAAATTCTTTTTGTCTGTACTCTAAAAACAAATATGTACAAAACCTATCAAAATCATAATGTACAGAGGGTAGTGTGTAGGTCCAGTGTTGTTACACTAGATGAAAATTTGATTCATAGATTTCAGAAAACACCAAAAGTTTATGTATAATTTTAAAGATGGATATGGAAAAAAATTGGAGGTCATACAAGCAAAAGTTATACTCATTGTAATGTCTTTATGAATCTGGAACTATGCATAAAATAAACAATTGTCTTTTAACTACACATACAACTAAGCCTTACAAATAAAGGGTTGTATTTATGAAGGATTAAAGCAGTACAGTGGACCCTCGACTAACGCTATTAATCCGTTCCTTAGAGCTCATCGTTAGTCAAAATTATCGTTAGTCAAGTTAATTTTCCCCATAAGAAATAATGGAAATCAAATTAATCCGTGTAGGACACCCCAAAGTATGAAAAAAAAAATTGTTTTTACCACATGAAATATTAATTTTAATACACATAAACTGAAGAAGACATGCACAGTTACATGACACTTACCTTTATTGAAGATCTGGTGATGATTGATGGGATGGGAGGAGGGGAGAGTGTTGATGGTCTTAGTGTTTAGAAGGGAAATCCCCTTCCATTAGGACTTGAGGTGGCAAGTCCTTTTCCGGGGTTACTTCTCTTCCCTTTAAATCTCTCAAACCCACCTTTGCTGGCCTTAAATTCACTCACATCACCACTAGTTGCTGGCATTTTTTTAATTAAATCGTCATGCAACTTCCTAGCCTTTTCACATATGATCGCTTGAGAGATGCTATCTCCTGCTATCTGTTTTTCGTTTATCCACACCAATAACAGTCTCTCAACATCTTCGAGTACTTGCGATCTCAGTTTCGAAAACATAGTTGCACCTTTGGCAAGAACAGCTTCCTTGATTGCCATTTTCTTGGCCACAATAGTAGCAATGGTTGATTGGGGTTTTGTGTACAACCTGGCCAGCTCGGAGACACGCACTCCACTTTCATACTTAGCAATGATCTCTTTCTTCATATCCATAGTAATTCTCACCCTTTTTGCTGTAGGGTTGGCACTAGAAGCTTTCTTGGGGCCCATGGTGACTTATTTTGCAGGTGCAATCACTAAAAAGGCTGTGATAATATGAAATGTTCCGATTGTATGCTTGGAAGCGACCGCGGTGGCTGGCTGGCTTGTAAACACTGGCCAGAAGTGGACGCGTCTCAGACGGAACGAATAGTGTTGGTCAAGTTTTTTAGCGCTAGTCGAGGCAAAAATTATGCGTTAAAATGTATCGCTAGTCGGATTTATCGTTAATCGATGCCATCGTTGGTCGAGGGTCCACTGTACTAATTTTAATCTTCACATTAAATACATATACTGTACTCACATTCTCCAAACAATATGATTTCATATTTTTTACACAACAAAGCTCTTTAATATTTAATTCCTACTTTGAGTGAATATACAATGATCTATTCCAAGATACAGGCTATCATCCAAAACTTTAATATTTACAATAAGTACATATTTAAAATTACAAGAACTGCTCTTTCTCAAACTGATGACTAATTTATTCTTATTCAGCAGCAATCACACTCAAATCTCTAACATACTATATTTTATACTTTCATAGAATTTCAAAAATTTCTAAGTCAAATTATATTTATTTCACATACAAAACAAAAGATAAATTTGCTAATGTTCATAAACAATTCCAAAGTAAAGAGATATTGTGTTACTCATCAAATAAGCCCGACCAACACTAACAATTCTTCCTACAATCCATCTTTCCAAACAAATATCAGTATTTTACTGTGATTCAAAACTGCCAGTAAAGTGACTGTGGGACTCAAATATGAATGTTGGTAATTTATTGTCATGTTTCCTCAGTCTTCTCTGTGCTTCCTGTTTTCTGCTCATGCAACAAAACATTGATGTGTCTTCCTATATTATAGAATTTTTTTTAAACACAATGTTCTTTTCCCACCAAGGCAGGGTGACCCAAAAAAGAGGAAACACTTTTGTCAACACTTACTCCATCACTGTCTTGCCAGAGGCATGCCCATACAAAAACTGCAACATATCTCCACCCCTCCTTTAGAGTGCAAGCATTGTACTCTGAAGGAGGGTACAGCATGTGTAATCAACCCAAACAGCATATATTAAGAAACTGGCTTCAGCATACCAAGTAAAATTCAGCACTGAAATTAGGAGGCTAGGTTGTAAGAAAATGTTTCAGAAAGATATTTTAGGTGGAGATATAATTTATGAGTGGTAGAGAATGAGTTTGATTTAGAACCAGTTTGTAGAACAAGATAAAGATAAGTGATTAAATAAGCTTCATAGTGAAATAACATATTTAAGATAAGAAGTTGAAGATCTGAGCAACCAAGCTCAATGCAAAAATGCATAGCAATGATAAAAGGTCATATATGCATGAAACAAGGAGATGCAAGATTTATCCATGCTATTTAATGTATTATGTGATTAGGGCTGCATCTAGTCTAGATAGTCATAAAATGCTTGGTAACTATTCCCATTAATAGTAAAACCATTCAATACGCTCTGGGAGATAATCTCAAAACTGACAAGTATATTTAACCCTTTGACTGTTTCAGGCCCCTCTCTGAAACTGTCATTCTATGTCGCTCAATTTTTGAAAAAAAAAAAAAATTATTTTTTCTTATGAAATGATAGAGAATCTTTTCCCGATGGTAATGACACCAAAAGTTCGAAATTTGGTCGAAAACTCTTGGAATTATGGTCCCGCGAAGTTAGCGGTCTCAGCGACATATGCGTATCGGCGATTTCGCCGACTTTGAGCCCAATTTTCAGCCAATTCCATTGTTCCAGTTGACCAAACTCATAGCTATTTCTTTAGAACTCCATTTTATCTATCAGCTGAGTACAAGAAACCTCCCATTTACTAATTTGGACTACCCAATATGGTGGTCAGAAATTGGCAATTTGGCCAATTTCACACAAAATAAAAAAGATGCCAATTTCAAAATAGGGTCCAGAATAAACAAGGTAGACATTCGTGGCACTAAAATAACATATGCTCTGTTCATTAGTCACATCTCTAGGCCCCTCTTATATTATTATTGCTTTCTATTTTGATTTTTTATTCATACAAAAAAATACAAAATTTACTGTTATGCAGACGACTGCATTATTGTAAAAATGGTATAAATAATATCAGTGCACTAGTGAAAGAATATTAGACTCCCTAGTTGACGTGTATTGGACGTGTGGTGTGATTTATTTACTCTTCAACATTGGTAAAAATCGAACATTTTCGCTACTTTGAGCTTAGTTTCAAGGTCGTTTTCATCGTAAAAGTAATGAAAATCATCTCTATTTCTGTAATATGTTTTCCATTTTATCACCTAAGACCATGAAAACGCGAATACAACGATAAATACTATACGAAAATACACCTCAAAGTCGGCGTTTTATTCCAAAAAAACGATCAGTTTTTTTTTTCTCATTACGCAATGTGTGCTGCAGGATTTTTTTTATGTGGTGCACACTGACCACACAGACCCATTCTCTCACATGTGGGCCTACCAGCTTTCTCCCACTTGATTTGAAGCCGCTAGAATTATTGAGTATATATACGTCAGAAACATTGGCTCGTAAGACGTATTTATACGTCGAAAACAGTCAAAGGGTTAATAGACATAAATAAAAAAAAGCTCTCACTCCTATGAACCCTAGCTCCTGAGTGTTCTTATATGGGGATGCACTGAACCCGTAAGGTTCAGTGGACTAGGAAGTAATCAAATTTGATCCAAGCAAAGGGAGGGTAACTCTAATTCCTGGACCAAAAGCCCTTCACCAGCAACAAGATACTCCTCTTGAAGGGATCAGCATTCCTGAGATTTGGAGGTTTAGAATTTTACCCTAAAACCTAGATACTGCCCTGAAGATAATTATTCATGATATTATGCAAGAGGTGCTCCTTAGCCACACACCTGCTGGTTCGTTGGCCATGTCAGCAACACTGAACCTGGGTTTGCTGCGAGGAGCATTAGGTGGATCTCTTGGAATGATGGGAATATCACGGTGGAATGTGATACCGTGCATACCCCAGTCTCTAGTGTGGACTGCTCTTCGCGAGACGTAGCCAAGCTGACCAGGCCCAAGGTATGGCTCTGGGAGTCATTGCGAAGTCTCGTGTTAGTGAGATCTCTTTACACGTCATTCTTAGCTTTTATTTTGCTTTAAACAGTATAGTAAAGACAGACTAAAAAGTATTTCTAACTGCCCTCAGAAGGTAGCTGTGCTACACTAATGTATAAAAAAAAATACACCTATCTTAAAAAATATTTGAAGACATTGCTGACATATTTGGCAATAGTTTTGTAATGCATAAAGAGTTCTTCAGCACAGTGACAGTAACAAAATTAAGGTTCAAATTCAGTCTTATAATAATCAAAACATCAAGCTAAGCATTACCATCTCAAAGGTGAACTTATTATTTTATTTAGGAAAAGTTTTTTGCCCAAATATAAGATTTCCTTCATTAACAAGTCATGAAAAAAGTATTTGCCAATAAAACAATTCTACCATTTGTGAGGAGAGCTTACATTAAGAAATAATAATGATATGAAAAAGTATCAGGCAATCTTAAAGAGTTTCTAGTAAGGAAAATTGGTTGGGGTAACACAGTATGTATCATAACTGAAATGAGAATTTCACGTTACAGAAGTATTGTGAAAATAAATTATATAAGAGGCACTGGGAGCTCTCATTTACAAGTCCACAACAATACCAACTAAGCCAAAGAAGGCATAAAAAAGCTACGAGGGAAGCCCTAACTGTTGCTCAATTCACTTTTATGTATGTACATAGAGTTCCCACCACAAAAGAAAATGCTTCTTTTTTCAAATCAACATTTTTTCATGAAGTACAAAATGTCACCATGGAGGCTGAACCATAAATATGTGAAAAAAAAATCAAGATGGTCTAAAGATCCAAATTCCTTAAATTACAAATCTGAGCTATGAGAAAAAGCTTATGTAACAAAACAACTCCGGAGGAATGAAGGACCAGAAGTGACACTGTCTCACATACTCAAAGATACAGAGACTAATTAAATGGGGTGTAAATAGGATGACTCAAAAAGATATAAGGTGGTATGTTTTCACAGTAGCAAATGCACGATAAGTTAATAATGTCTAACGTCATGTTGTCTGAGCATTACTCAGCTGTTATTTTATCACTGCAGTACATATTTTCGGTATATAGACATATGGTGTAGGTAAGGTTAGTTTCTATTTTAAAGCACATTTATGAACTATTTTAATAATTGTACAGTACATTATAAAAGAAAGGCAGCTCATACCAGTCTCCCCAAAAGTAATTTATTGCCAGAATCATGAACACCAATTGATGTGAGCTAAGAGAAAAGATCTTAATACTTTCTCAGAATCTAACTAACCAAATGCATTGAAATTTGGTATATGGTACGTATTAGGTATAGTTGTGATGTGTTCTTTTTTGTTAAGAAATGTACAATTTACAAAACAGGCTTCCTTAATTAAGCTGTTATTCTGATTTAATTTGATTCTATTTTTTCACAGTAGGTTTTGGATAAGATTTACTGAGGTATGATATAAAAATACTAAGAATTATTTAATCTATCAAATTATGTACAGTAGACCGTCATTTAAAATGGTAGTTACGTTCCTGAAAATGCTGTGCTAGGTAAAAAACCATGTTAGATGAACTGAAGAACTTATTGGAAAAATAGGGTTATGTTCCTGAGAGCCCCAAAAACGCCAAACAACTTTGTTTTAGGCCTCCACCTCTTACAAAAATAAAAGTGAATATGTAACTGTAATTATTGTTATGATGTATTATATTGTTTTACTGTTTAAGACTACAAATGTAACAGAAATAATAGCATTTCTTACCTTAAATTGTGGGTGCTGGTGTTAGTGGATGATTGTGAAGAGAGTGGAGTTATGCTGTGGCCCTACCAGGCTGAGGTGGATGGTAGAGGTTCTGGTACTGAAGTTGATGGTTGTACTGGAGTGTCTAACTTAAAGTCATTCAGTCAGACAAGTTATTCAGTCAAGTCAGTCAGTCAGTCAGTCAAATCAGTAAGTCAGGTCAGTAAGTCAAGACATTCAGTCAGTAAGTCAAGTCATTCAGTCAGTCAGTCAAGTCATTCAATAAGTCAGTCAAGTCGTTCTGTCAGTCAGTCAAGTCATTCAGTAAGTCAGTCAAGTCATTCAGTAAGTCAGTCAAGTCATTCAGTAAGTCATTCAGTCAGACAAGTTATTCAGTCAAGTCAGTCAGTCAGTCAAATAAGTAAGTCAGGTCAGTAAGTCAAGACATTCAGTCAGTAAGTCAAGTCATTAAGTCAATCAAGTCATTCAGTAAGTCAGTCAAGTCATTCAGTAAGTCAGTCAAGTCATTCAGTAAGTCAGTCAAGTCATTCAGTAAGTCAAGTCAGTCACAAACTTATGTTTACCTCTTTTTATGTGTACAAAGTAACACTTCATTACAAAGTAACACTTCTTTGTTTTCTTTGTTAATTCTCAGACTTAAATGTTTATACCTTTTCATGCCACTTTCAGCAACACTAGTATGCCTACTAGGTGTCATTATTGCTTGGCAGATACAAGATATAGTAATTAAAAAGTCAAAACACAATTCACAAACAGAGCTAGCTTGTAGCAGAGAAAGACTGGATGTGTATGAAGTATGAATGCTGGGATGGTGGGGTGGTGTCGGGGGATGGCAGGGGATGGCGGGAGGTCTTCCCAGCTGATCCACAACAAAGCGACCGCTTAAGGAAAAGAGATTTTTTTTTTTCTTCCCGCAAACTGAACCATGTTAAATTAATTTTACGTGTTACATAAAATTGTGCCGCAATTCTTCAATCGTGCTATACCCAAATCATGCCAAATAAACTCATGCTAAATGACAGTCTACTGTATGTAAAAAAATCTGATCACCTTGCCAACTTTACGGTGTTTCTAACAGATGAGGCTGTGCTGCATACAGTTCGGATCATCAAGCACCTACCATACCTAGATTATGTTATGGAATAAGGCATTAAGTAATACTGGTAGGCTGACGATTTATGGGTAGAACAGGAATTTATCATTGTGGGGAATTGTAAAGTAACCAAGGGAATTGTACCACCAATAAATAAAACACCAGCACTTTACAGTAGGATCCCTGTATCCACAGGGGATACCGAGACAGCGGATAGTAGCACACCCTACATATGTCCTATACACAAGTACCTATTATAAAGTTTACTTGATAAATTACGCACAATAAGTGGAGAATTATCACTCTTTCACTTCATGGCCTCTCTTGGGCTTTGAAATACTGCCAGCTTCTCTACTTTTGTGCTTTGGGGCCATTATTTTGCAAAATTATGAGGTATTTTTGGGCCACAGTAAACCATGGATAACTGAAACTGCGGATACCAAATCAGTGGATATGGGGGTTCTACTGTATCTCCTACTTTCCTCAGTATTTATTATAACACTTTTTCTTTAAATAATGCAGTAGATGAGTCATATCTGTTAGTAAACAATCAATCAATCTTGACTGAACCAAGGGTTCATGTTGCTGGTCACAATACATTCGCATGACTGACAAGAAAACTGGAGTCAATTTTTCCGATCTAACACTAATAATTTCCAATTTGTAAATTTGCAAGTAAGAAAAACTGGAATGTTTTTAAAATTAATTTTGTAATCTTGAGATTATTTCATAAAACTTTGAAAAACAAGAAAATATTACTGTCCCAGAGCACCAAAAAATATTCTAATTAACGGAAGATTTATTTATTATTTTTTATTTATTTTTATTATCACACTGGCCGATTCCCACCAAGGCAGGGTGGCCCGAAAAAGAAAAACTTTCACCATCATTCACTCCATCACTGTCTTGCCAGAAGGGTGCTTTACACTACAGTTTTTAAACTGCAACATTAACACCCCTCCTTGAGAGTGCAGACACTGTACTTCCCATCTCCAGGACTCAAGTCCGGCCTGCCGGTTTCCCTGAACCCCTTCATAAATGTTACTTTGCTCACACTCCAACAGCACGTCAAGTATTAAAAACCATTTGTCTCCATTCACTCCTATCAAACACGCTCACGCATGCCTGCTGGAAATCCAAGCCCCTCGCACACAAAACCTCCTTTACCCCCTCTCTCCAACCTTTCCTAGGCCGACCCCTACCCCGCCTTGCTTCCACTGCAGACTGATACACTCTTGAAGTCATTCTGTTTTGCTCCATTCTCTCTACATGTCCGAACCACCTCAACAACCCTTCCTCAGCCCTCTGGACAACAGTTTTGGTAATCCCGCACCTCCTCCTAACTTCCAAACTACGAATTCTCTGCATTATATTCACACCACACATTGCTCTCAGACATGACATCTCCACTGCTTCCAGCCTTCTCCTCGCTGCAACATTCATCACCCATGCTTCACACCCATATAAGAGCATTGGTAAAACTATACTCTCATACATTCCCCTCTTTGCCTCCAAGGACAAAGTTCTTTGTCTCCACAGACTCCTAAGTGCACCACTCACTCTTTTCCCTCAATCAATTCTATGATTCACCTCATCTTTCATAGACCCATCCGCTGACACGTCCACTCCCAAATATCTGAATACATTCACCTCCTCCATACTCTCTCCTTCCAATCTGATATTCAATCTTTCATCACCTAATCTTTTTGTTATCCTCATAACCTTACTCTTTCCTGTATTCACCTTTAATTTTCTTCTTTTGCACACCCTACCAAATTCATCCACCAATCTCTGCAACTTCTCTTCAGAATCTCCCAAGAGCACAGTGTCATCAGCAAAGAACAGCTGTGACAACTCCCACTTTGTGTATGATTCTTTATCTTTTAACTCCACGCCTCTTGCCAAGACCCTCGCATTTACTTCTCTTACAACCCCATCTATAAATATATTATTTTAATACTCCAGCCATCTTCCACAGCAGTGTGACCTAAGAAAGAAAACATCTTCAATGTCACTCACTCAATCATTGCCTTGCCAGAAACGTGCTGACATTACAGTTTAGATTACCCTCCGAATTGCAACATCCACACTCATCCATCACAATGCAGGCGCTGTACGTCCCACCTCCAAGACTCAAGTTCAG